ATTAAAATAATTTTATTACCTATTGCATTAATTAGTTAATAGTAAAGACGGTTCGAGACAGCTTGTCATATTGTAGTGTAGGGCAGGGGTCACCAATTATGTTCCTTGAGGGTCCGTTTCAAAAATCTACTTTCGCGGTCCGGACACTCAGCACTAAGCCAGGCAGTGGCGTAATCCTGGGGGGATACCAGAAACCCTCCAGTAGATGTAACCCCCTCTTTTTTCAACTACGTCACCCCCTCAGAAGGGGGGAGGTTACGAAGTTGAAACCATTTAACTAAACCACCTCGTTTAGGGAGGGGTATGAAATAAATTCAAGGAAAAAGATGATTATAAAGCTATTATATTCTTTTTTCTTCCATCTTTGTTTAATAAATTTTTGCGGTGTAATTTGAAATATTTGTATCTTTAATTTAATCATTTAATACTACATGTGTCTGGTTGTATTCTTTTTGAAGCTATAGTGTTCAACAATTTTATTGGGCACAAACTACAATGGAAAAGCAACTAATATCTCATTGTTTTTTTTTTTGTCAATATACAGTTAAATACTTTCCTGATACAGTAAATGAAATATAAATGGTGTATTGTTTTTATCTGAAGAGCAGCTTTGTTACTCTTAAAAAAGATTGATGCTTCACTTGTCCATACACCATTAGGCTTGAGTGAAAAACCGTTGCTTAACAGTTGCACAACATTTTCAATTTTTTAGAAATCATCAAATCGTTTTTTAAATTCCAAATCAAGTTTATTAATAAAACGTGAGAACTGGGTCACATCAATATCTTTATTGACGGATTATCTATCACAAACGGATTTAAGGAGAGGAAAATGCAAAAGTTCTGCCTTAATATCCCCAGAAAAAAGTTTAATATTTTTAGAAAAACTTCTAATATCCGACAGAAGTTCATAAACAAGTTTTCCCTTGCATTGTAGTTTTAAATTTAAGAAGTTCAGATGTCTGCAGATCCGCCAAAAATGCGATAGTTGCAATGTTTTCTGTGTCCCAGAGGAAACCTAAATGGTCATTTGCAGTTTCATTATCAATAGTGGACAGAAATCCTTATGTTATCAAGTGTTGCAAAGAATCTTTCAAACCTTTTCTTAGCCGTCTCACGTTGTTATGAAAAAGAAAATCGTCAAACTGAGCATTAGTGTCTTCTAGGAATGATTTAAATTGACAATGCCTAAAACATGATTTTGCATGAAGATAGTGTAAAGTTCACTATCTTCATGACGGTTTTCATATACGATTTAGGTTTCCACAATACGTGTGGAACGAAATAGACAACATATGTCACCCATGACGAAAAAACCTACGTAAAGGTCAAATAGTTGGCTACAAGACTACAAATATGCAATCGCTGAAGTGGTTAGATAGACATCCAGTTACAATGCTTACGACACTTCACTCCACCAACGTGAAATATAGTGTTAAAAAACTAAGGATAATGTTTCTATCCAGAAACTAGAATGTGTACTGGATTATAATTGTAATATGGGGACTGTACATGCTTCTCAGTAGCACTGAATCTGTCAGAAAGTCTCCAATAAAGTGGTATAGTTATTTTTTCATTTGTTGGACTTAGTTTGTTAAATGTTGATATCTTATATAATATTACCATGGGATAGAATATTCTACTTGAAGATTTTCAATTAACACTTGTTAAAGAAATTATTGCTGAACATAGGAAAATCAAACCTCGTGCCTCAACAAGTTGTAAACCGGAAGATGATCATTCACCATTACGCCTTATTAAATGACATTTTCCCACAATGTATCAGGACACCAAAGAAATTAAAAGACCACAAAGTTAATACTGTGTTGAAACACGCTATACTTGCATAGCCTGAAATGTGCCTCTATGTGTTACACCATGTTTTGAAAAGTACCATTGTATAAATAAATTTTAATTTTCCTTTTAATGTAGTCAAAACTTTTATTTATATTTTGCATTATCAAAATATTGATAATTTTTCAGTGTCTTTATTTTTTTTTATTTTTCAAAAATCTAACAGCAACAAATTTATAGTTACTTCTACAAAATTGTAAATACTGTATTGAATACACGGTATTGATACACTGCGAGAACCGTATTTATATGCCATAGTACTTCATCGACTGACTGCGGCAACTGTGTTGATCAGTACAGGCATGAAACAGCTGTACCAGAAACCATACTAATTTTGTAACTAGCCGCAGTGAAAAGGTTAAACTTTAAACAGGCGTATCACAACCTAAACAGAAGAAAAATAATCAAAGACTTACAAGAGAGTAATATATCAAATAAAATTATAACAATGATAGAAATAACAATGCGAGATTTCCAAGCAATAGTAGACACTGGAAGAGAAAGAACAGAAATAATAAAAAAAAAAGGCGTAAGACAAGAAGATGCGCTCTCAATGGTACTATTTATTCTATCGCTAGATAAGATCACAATACACAAATACTGGTATGCTATTCAAAGAATAGAAATGTGTACTCCGACGAGCAGGATGTCACCTGCAAAGCAACAGTACAGTTAGATCCCCATAAGTGAAGATGCTCCCTGTATTTTCTGTGATGAGTTGTATTCAAATGATAGGAAAGGAGAACTACGGGTTCAATGTTTAATGTGTGAAATTTGGGCTCACAATGAGTGTGCTGTGATTTTAACTAGTAGCCATTTAACCACCACAACTTGTAATTTTCAAATCTTTCTATTTTGGAAAAATTTTTTTTGTGTATTAAAATTTTTTATTAAACTAAATTTGTTCGGTTACACGTATTTACAACATTTTAAAGTTTAATTGTTTCCATTTTCAGTAAGATTCATTCATAATGAAGGTATTTATGATGGAAAAACAAAATGGTAGCCCATAATATCACCTTTGTCTACTATATCAGAAGTTATAGGTACATCTATTATTATGACTTCAAAGAAATAAATATATTTTACAGTTTTATTTTTATTTAAATATTAAACTTATTTTAATACTTAAAATAATACAAAAAATTAAATATAACATTAATATCTGTATAGATGTTACATTTTTGAAAACTGTAACCTCTGTGCAGTTGCCTTTCACTTGATGAATCATAGAAAATCTAAAAACATCACGATTTTCAAAAAAAAAATTTATTTTCTTTTCATCATATTTTAATACTACTTATCCTATTGCCAATGAATACAAATCTAAAGACACAAAAATTTAAATTTATTTACAAAAAAATGTATTTACAACTATACTGGTTTCATTTATAACAATATGTCAATATGATGGTTTTAAGAATCAAAAGTAACAATTATAAATAATTGAAATCGATTTCCGTTTAACAAAATTTTAAATTATGGCAAAACTATAGGTCCTAGTTATAGGACATCCATTTATCATTCGAAAGAGAAAAAAAAATTAATTTAATAATTCATTAATATACAGGGTGTTCCATTTAAAGTAGGCCTTATATTACACATTGATTTTATTAGAATTGCTTAAATAAATTCAGAATGAGTCCTCATTTAAAGTTTTACATTTTAAGAAAATTCAACGTAACTCAGAACAATCTGTAAGTAGGTATAGGGAAGTCTTATGAAACTATACATTATTTTTTGCAGAAAATTTGAAAATCCAATAAAATACAGGGTGTTCCATAAGAAAAAATATAACTTTGAAACGCCGCGCTTTATTGTGACTTAGACTTGTGTGTACATTTCAGAATAATTTTAAAATGTAGCCTTTATCAACCTACATACTATACATTTAAAAAAATTTTTAAAATCTTTTACTGTTTCGCTGTAATCTTCCATCTTGTTAGTGCTGACTCACCCTGTATATAGTATGACCTATCTTAAGGTTGATGGTATCAAAGAAAAATTAAAATAACATTACATTACTTTTCAACTAACAGTATATGTATAACATGCCCAAATGGTATAAAAACTAATAGCAATGATTGTTCTTGATAATGATATTTTCTCTCCCCTAAGCCTGTTTGATCCAAAAGATCTCGTTATCCCTAAAGCTTACTGTGTTTGCTGCCCATTATTATTTCCTACAAGCCAGTGTAGAATATGTGCACCCTGTACAAATTCTTAGGATTTCTCTTACTGGTGTATGCCTGGTCAACATTCCTGTTAATGTTTTCAGTTTATTCCTGCCCCCATATGAAGCAGTTCTGTTCTTTCTCAGATCCACCCCTTTTCAACTCTACAAACTGCATCCTTTGGTCCTTTCAGTGTCACAGCTGGTATGTTTGCTTTGTTAGATACTTCTTTAGTAAGTTGATCTGTATTTGGTTACCTTAGATGCCCTGGTACTCATGATTGTTCTAGTCTCCCAAAGTATTCAGTTCTCTGAGTCCATGTCTGATGCAGTCCCAAACCAGTATGGACTTCATTTAGTCAATAAATCGATCTGCTATCTCGTTATTTCTCCATGCACATTGTAGTATTGCATAAATTTCTTCTTGTAAAAGAATGTAATTCCCTAGCCAATACCAAGTTTTTGCTAATTCTTGGATTTTTGGAGTATGTGAAAAGTTTGGAGTATGTCTTGTTGGGACTGTCATAAATGACTTTAAGGTCTAGGTTATGAATATTATTGCAAAAGTAGAACAAAGTTAATTGTGAAAAAAATGTAAATGTATGGGCTCTGTTAAATTATGATGGAAGAAATAGGGATATATGTTTTTACAATTCCTGCCCAGGCATTTACTTTTTGGGTATAAGTAGTGTGATGTTTTCTCTTCTAGTGAGTATAAGATAGTGTAGAACATATTAAATTGAAAAATTCTTCATCTATTGCTTGTCTTATAGACTTTTTCAATAGAAGTATCAGATATGCCCTTTGTTTTGATTACAAGAAATGACCCTGAACAAATTTTAAATTTAGAACAAGTGTGGGAAGTGATTGAGGACCAACATTCCAAACCATGTTTGAATTTTATGATACAACTCAGCTGCTTAAAATAAATGCCCAACCCTATAATTTTTACTTTACCTAATCTATTTACTTACCATCATCTTCTTTTATTTCAGCTTTTATAGGATATTTCTTAACATCTAAATAATCAAATGTATCATTTGCACTTTCCCGTTTAGGTTCCTCTTTAATTTCAATTTTAAAGGTATCCTGTAGAACTTCACCCACTTCATTATCTATTTCTCTTTTACAAGTCGTCTCATCAACTTCTTGTTTTACTTTGATTTGATTAAACATAATTTCATATGTTTCAGTAATATCAGACGTCTATATTCTTATTTTTTGGTAATATGTTTTACTATAAACGAAGCAATAGCGAAACGACTATACCAACTATACTAAATTAAATTCTATACTATTCTATAAATAAACAAAGAATATAGACGCATATAGCATATAGAAAAATCGGTTAAATTTAATTTTCCTACAATGAACATAACCTATAGACATGTTTGACGTTAAATGTAAGCTTCACGGGTGGGCGACTCTTATGAGAGTGACATTTCTTTGCTTTTTACTACGACCCAGGATACGAGGTGGCGCACGCAGACAAGTGTTGTTTATTTAGACAACTTATGATACACAATATTAATAAGTTGGTTGCCAATCAAGAAATATACAAATCCAAATACACGCAACCCAAACAACACGCCTGACACGGGACACCCGACACCCATTTTATTAGGTTATTTATGTGGTATACATGTGGTATATTAATTATGTTATGATTGAGATCGCTAGTAGTTTATGTGTTACCAGGTGTTACTACTCATTTTACAAGTTGGTGATATATAATAAAGTGAATATAAACAATAAAACTAGAAATAATGGTTTCAAAGTGCTGCGTTTTAGGTTGTAGAAACACTAGCCAAAAGGCCCAGCTGCATACGTTTCCAAAAGACGAGAAGGTAAGTTAAATTTTTATTATTTATTATTTTTCTACCAATAAAGACCAATATATAGTTTTAGTTCTCAGAGTGTAGGACTTCTAAAAATATATCTTATTCAAGGGGTATTATTGTAAAGTGAATGGTACCTTTTTATGACTTTACTGTATGCATGTATATGCACTGTCTATATTTTTGTTCTTTTTTTTCTAGATTTGGTCAATGTGGATAAAGAATATTGGTCGAGAAGATTTGAAAAACAAAACCATAGATCATTAAGAAGATCTTATCGCATATGTAACATACATTTTGATGATAATCAAAAATATATTGGAAGTCGATACAAATCTACCATTAAGCAAGATGCAGTGCCTACTTTGTTTCTTCCAATTATTAAAAATGGTAAGTACTAAGAAAATTTAATTAATTAGTCAGTATAAATTATTTTTTGTTTAGTTAAAGAATCTGAAGTTATGCCAGCTGTAGAATCTGAAGTTATGCCAGCTGTAGAAGTACCCAGTACATCAAAATTTAATGAAAGTGGAATTCCCCAATCTCCTGTTCGTGATGTTACTGCACCTAAAACATTTTCAACTCCAGCTAAGCAAAAAGGTAATTTTTATAAAAGAATCTTATGTACTACTGTTATTTTATTCCTTTCTTTTCCTTACAGTGGGATTATTGATGTTCTCTTCCCATTAATAACTAAAATTCAGGGTTTTCTTTAAGCTTGTTTTGTCCCTGATATGTTGAAAGAATGTATATAATAATCAATTTTCTTTTTTTATAGTTTAAGAAGTAAATTAAGACTTTTGGCCTACAGTGGAACAGAATCAGTTGCTAAACTAACACCTAAGGCGAAAAAAATTTTACAGAATTGCAAAAGATCTTCGTAAAACTGCTAAACGACTGGATTTTAAATGTTTGAATTTGAAAAAGGAATTAAGAAGAGTTGAAAAAGTTATGGAATCAGGTGATTTTTTGGCCCAAAGCATCAATAAAGCTACTTATGATTTTATAAAATGCCAATTAAGGTGCCAAAAATTTCAACCGAAGGGTAGGCGTTATAGCCTTGATGAAAAAATTTTATTTTTGTCATTTTTAAAACAGAGTCCTAAAGGATACAAACTATTTCGTAAAATATTTGCTGCTCCTTCAAGGAAAACTTTGACTAACCTTTTACAAAATATTCCCTTTGCAACTGGAATCAATGAAACCATTATGGCTAGCTTGAAAAATAGTACAAAGGGAATGTCTGTAAAAGAGAAGTATTGTAGCATCCTTTTTGATGAAATATCTATTGATCCTGGATTGCAATACAACAAAAAAGAAGGTGCTATTTACGGATTTGAAGATTATGGGGATTATGAATATAATAGGCCAATTATTGCTGATAAAGCCTTGGTATTCATGGCCAGAGGAATTTTTAAAAAGTGGAAGCAACCAATTGCTTATTATATTAGTGAAAGTGGCATGAAAGGTCACCTATTATGTTTAAAAATAAAAGAAGTCATCAGGGCATGCAGAAATAGTGATCTTTTGCCAATTACAATTATTTGCGACCAATATAGTGCCAATAAAAAGGCTATTAAATTATTATATGAAGAAAACTGCAAGCAACCACATCAATTCGGTTTTTTAATAGATGGTGTAGAAGTTATTCCCTTATATGACCCTCCCCACCTGTTAAAAGGTATTAGAAACAATTTTTTTAATAAAAGTGTAAAATTTAAGTGGAGAAAAAATATTGAAGTGGCGACTTGGGCACACATTAATCAATTATATGATTTAGAAGATAAAGATTATGACTATAAATTATGTCCAAAACTAACAGAAAGTCATGTTAAAAATCTTAAAAAAATGAAAGTGTCCATAGCAGCACAGACATTAAGCAATACTGTAGCCGCAGCTATGAAAAAGTTGGCCTCTTCTCAACTAAATTGTCTTCCAGCCGAAGCAGAAAGTACAGCTGAATTTATTTTATTTATGGACAAGGTCTTTGATAGTGTGAATGGTGCTGGCACCTTTAATAAAAATGGAAAAAGATTAAGAATGGCTGTAACAAAAAAAAGCGAACATTATACTTTTTGGACTGAGGCCATTCAAGTTTTTGAATCAATAAAATTTGAAGAAAGGGGGAAACAGACAGTACCACCAAGTGTACTAAATTGGATTCACACTCTAAGAGGTATGAGATACCTTTGGGAATTATTTCAGAAAAAAAATATAAAATATTTTTGTCCCAATTTTTTAAATCAAGATCCCCTTGAAAACTTTTTTGGGCGCATTAGGAGTCATGGAGCAAGGTATATAAACCCAAATGCAACAGCATTTATTCATTCATTTAAATCTTTAATTATTATGGATTTCACATCTGTGCACTCACCTGGATTTAATTGTAAAGATGACAATTTAAATGCTTTGGATTCATTAAAACATTTCATAAATTGTGAACCAATTTCAAAAAATGAACCAATTAAGATCCCTGATATACAATTTAGTGAATTTACACCAAATAACCAAATAGATATTTTACAAAAAGGATGTCTTAGATATATAGCAGGGTTTGTGGCAAAAAAAATTTTACGTAAATTTAAAAGTTGTGGATGTTGTATGACAGATTTATTGGGCGATGGTAGTAATGCTGAAGATTTTTTTATCAACGCAAAATCTTATAGTATAAAAAGTTTAATGGCCCCAAACAGTAAATATGGTGAACTTTTTGAAAAGATTATATTCATATTACAGCAAATAGTTCCAAAAGTTTGCCACTACAAAAATTTAAAAAAAATACTTTTCGGAATAATGTATAATGAATGCAAATCATTTACTTTTATATGTGAAAAACATCAAATTTTAAAACACATATTAAATTATGTTATTTCATTTCATTTGCTGATTTATGCAAAAAATATCACCAAAATTTTACAGGGAAAATTAAAAGTAAAATCTGGGTGTAATGACCCAATTAAAAATTATGCACAAAAAAAATTTTACAGTCATAAAAAGTATGTTAATACATTAAAAATAATAAATAATTGCCTTCCTTTAAAAATAATATAGAGAGAGAAATATAGGTACTTTATTGATACCATGGAACCAAAAATTGACTGAAGTCTTTCAGCGAATTTACAAGATTAATATATACATTAAATATTTTATGTTAAGACTAAATACAATACAATAGTTAAAAAAAATTGTATATGTGGTGGTAATTACAATATTGCCAGTCAATTAAATTACAGCTAATAGAAGAAGATTAGAAGGGAGTTGTTTATTGATCTGAAGTGACAAGTACGTTTGTGATGTTATTTATAATATTTTTAGAACATAATAATATGCCTGGAGTTTCATATATTTCCTTCCTGTTGGATTATACACCCGTCACAATATGGGTTAATAAAATTTTTAGTTTTGCTTTCCTCACATATAAAACTATCGATATTATTACCTTGTAGATAGTTGTATATTAAGTATTTCTCTGTTTGAAAACTATTGATATTTGAATAAATAAACCTCACGTTATGAGCCACTATCTTGAAATATTGTGAGCCCTTCCTGTGGCATAGTTGGTGAGTGATTGGTTGGTTTTTCCAGATCGAACATGAGTATAAATAGGTAAATTTCCCAGTTTTTCACGATGTAATTTTTTGCAGTATCTGTGTTTTATTTCGATATTTGTGAGATGGTCTTTCATAATATGTGTATCTTCAATATCCAATTCTACTGATGATATGATACAGGCAAAAGTTGTGTCATGTGATTTATTTTGTGTGGATTGATTTTGGTTAGAATTTGTTTCTTTGTATTCTTTGGTTACTTTTGACTGGACTAATGACTTCGGTTATTATCTTAATTACTTTTTAAAATAAACCCATTTCTAGTTTTTATTATCACATTAGAAGAGTTTGGATTGCTTCTATTCCAAAAATTAGCAAACTGAAATCTTGATAATTATTGTTGAGTTGTTATAACAAAATTGTTTATAGTTTTGATTCATGATATTTTTCATTTGTAGTGAATCATGGTGTGTGTTGTTAACTACCTTTTTTTGTGGCTTTGAATGTTGACATCTTTTTGTGAATTTGGTTGGGATTGATTTATTGGGTTTTTAGAAGAATGCTGACCTAATATTATGTCTTGAATTTGTTGTTGAGACAGTTGTCCTTTTCCTTTCTTTCCCAAGTCCTTTTCACTGGATTTAGCAAATGCGATATTCGATGGCGTCGTTTCTTTTCTCTTTTTATTTTATTCCACTGTCCGGTATCTTCCATTTCTTCTTCCATTACGCTGTTCTCGGAAGACATATTTCCTTATTATTTCTACTGTTTTCCCAATTAACTATCACTAATTAACTTTTAAATCGATTTTTAACTTATCGTTAGCGAATTTCAGCGAGTCGATCGATTTACGTCCTTTCTCTATGAACATTCAAGGAGAACGAATATAATATTTTTTTTAATATTCATAAAAATATAATTATAGTATTTTTTACTTTATTTGTTTTAGGATCACCCATTTTATTTTTTTGCTTTTGTAATCAT